GCATGAGGTGAGTAGACTGCGACATGTAATCAGTGAAGATTCATATGGGATAAGTTGTATGAAAGATGTGATAAAAAAAAATTTGAAAGGCTGTCATGTAAAGCTGTTTATACATGGCTCATTCATCTTTGTGCTCCCCTTTGTGTAGTATATAACACATATTTAGTATATCTTTGAACTGAATTGGATGTATGAATGATAACTTCTATAATTCTTCTTCCTTGGTCTAAGTAGGTTAAATTACCAAAGACACTGATTGTCTTTTAAATCAGAGCTCATCATTTTCAGACCACATTCAGAAAGATGTGTGGTAGATATGTTTAATTTAATGGTCATATTAGAAACATCCTTAGTTTGCTTCTCCATCATGTTCATCCTCTATCTTTTTCACTTTATCCTTGAACTCCTAAACTCAGCATTTGATTTATATTATGTATTCATCATTTTCTGTCATCTACTCTTATATCCCAAACACCATTTGTGTACAAGAAGTCACCCATATGGCTCCTCTGATAGACACAATCATCAAATCCTTCATGCAGAAATAATTAATCTCTCTGAATTCTATGCTGTATCCTGCCATGTTGGAGAGTTTTACATGCATTTCTGCCACTGAACTACGACTGAAATAAATAGTATCTGCTGGTGTTATGTTCATTTTTATTATTGTAGTTAGGAGGGTGGCATGATTAGGAAAGCCATGATCCAACCCTGAGAATAAGTCATTCAGAGCATAAGCCACTCCAAATCCGATACCCTTGTTTCAGTTACCTGCCCATTCTGTTCTCTAATGATGTTATGTCAACTCTACTGGGGAGAAATGAAATTGATCAAGATTTCTCTGATCAATAACCCCTTTCCCCGTACATTGGAAAATACATCTGCAACACATAGAGACAAACACTGGTAAATCTCTGTGAGTTCTTTCATTTGGAACATGTCTAAACTATTATTCAAAAGCCTTTTACTGTTTAGTCTGTCCCTTTTGGCCCTGCTGCCACTTTTACTTAATTTTTCCTTCATTCATAATCCTTTCCAGGATATTTTCCTCATTCATTGAGTCTTTATTAACATTTCCTGTGCTCATACTACCTATTTTAATGCTAATATGTTTTTGGCCAGACAGCTTTAAGCAAAGGAAACACAGCCTTAGAAGCTTGTCTCTTCTTTAAAGATTATTGAAACTAATCACTGGCAATCTTTTACTTTGTCTTTTAAAGCATAATGGTAGGCATGAAGAAAAATTTAGCATAAAGAACTAGAACAACAATAAATGTTTGTGTGAAGTGCCAGTGATTTGCATTAGAAAAACCAAATAATAGAATTACAAGTATGTATTGACTGGTTAATTTTGTTTATCAAGTAAGGACTTTTGATTTAACCTATTACAGCACTTAAGGCAGAATATACCACTTAAGTTATTGTGGAGATCATAAACTATTGTAAATACAACATTTTCTGCCAGAAAGGGATCAGAGTAAATACTATTCTTTCATTCTTTTCTCTGATCCTAAAGAAAGATCTTCTAATCTCTAAAGTTGACCTGCCACCCATCCTTATGAAGTCAGGTTAGCTTAGTGGATAGAGTGCTGAATTTGGGATCAGATAAATTGCCTTAGGTACTTTCTAGTTCTATGACCATAGGCAAGTAACTTAACCACTTTGTGCCTCAGTTTCCTCATTTTTGAAATAGAAATAATAATAGCACCTACCTCACAGGGTTGTGGTATAGATCAAATGAGATAACATGTAAAGTGCTTTGCAATCATTAAGGGACTATATAAATTCTACTACTATTGTTTTAAATTATTTTCTCTTCCCTCCATGAAGATGAGATTTGTTTGGAGGTTTGCAGAAAAACAAACAAACAAACTTACTCCTTCAAAAACGTCACAATTCTCACTATTCTTGGGGTGGGGGGCAGTTACTCAGTAGATCTTACTATCCCTTTTAGCACCTAAGAAATATTTGTTAAATTCTTTTTTTATATTATTCAGGGCCTACTTATATAGCAAGTACATACATACATACATACACACACACATATTTTACAACAATATAGTTATTATATTTCTTTTTATTTTAATATATTTTATTTTCCCAATTATATATTAAGACAGGTTTAAAGAAAGTTTAAAAAGTTTTGAGTTCCAAATTCTATCCCTCCCTCCTTCCTTCCCCTCCTCCTCAAAAACAGTAAGCAATCTGATATTGCTTATACACATGCAATTATATTTTTATTACTTCAGGACATTTTTGTGTGATGGTATCCAATTATTCGTTTGTCCTTATTTGCTTTGGTTTTGTGAAGACATACAGTTTGTCAGTGTGGGGAGATTTTCCCTGGATACTCCTCTGAGGATCAAGTCCTCAGTTACTCAGACTCATCCGGAAGGGATGTTGAGCCACTGACTTTAAGTAATTTGCTATTGTTGAACATCTAGGAGTCTGAGGCAGGTTATTAATTCACAACTTCTTGACTGCAACTCTTTATCTAGTAACTATTAAAGGATGAAATTCATATGTATTTAATTTCACATAGAATATAAACGTAGAGTTGTTTTTCCCCTCTTTCAATACATGGGCAAGCAATCTAAAGAACTGTCAGAATAGAATTGAATTAATCTGGGATAACACAACCTTTTTAAAGCATTCTTTTTTATTAAGTGCTTTGATTTAACAATCTACAGCTTAACTCTACTTAGCTTTTCTACCCTTTACTATCGATTGATGATATATACATATATATGTATTATTTTTCTACTGCTGTCCCCCTTTTTCAATTATATTTACTCATATATTGTTCTTTCTTTCACCAGATTTCAAACTACTAATCTCAATCTGTCTAATGTTCTTGTTCTTTTTCCATGTGCTTTCCTTATTTTCATCTCCCCACCCCACCATCTTCTTGTCCAAATCACCATCTCTTTTTCTTCTAGTTCTTGTGTCTGAGGTTATTCAAATACAAAATAAAGTTTGCCAAATGATACAGTGGCACGTACCTCTTATCAAAGTAATAAGAGTATTTAATACCTTTTTCTGTGCTCCCACGAAAGGTAGTAACAAATTACTTTAAAAATGCTTCAAAAGAAGTAGGAATATTTGTAACAGTTCTCATTATGTTTTTGATATTTAAGTTTGTATCAACATTTTTTATTATATTGAGTTAAAATTGTCCTTATCTGTGCATTAAATTCATGTTGGACGAGCTTTAGAAACCTGGCTTATTTTAGAATAATGGTGTACCTATTCTGTCAATTTTAACATATTCTAAAAATATTGCAAACCTGTTTTAAAAGATTAAAATATATTTTGAAAAGTTATGCTTTTAAAGAATTAGCTACAAACTTTCTAGATAAAAAGTTTCCAAATTATATTCAGTTTACCCAATTTTGACTAAGGAGATCTAATTCACATGAATTAAATGCAAATGAAATATGTTGCATAAACTACTTAGGTATCATGAAACATTAACTTCTCAAACTAATTCCTTTACCCCCCCTCAATCTTTTTTTTTTTTGCCACAAGTCTGATTTTATTTTCATAGCAAACTTATAGAGGAAAGTTCTTCACCATTACATAGTAACAACTGTTCTACAACATATTTTATGATTGCATATTAGGTTATATTATTATATGGTATTATATTTTATCATATTTTCACATACAACAATATATAATTTTATATTGTTATATTGCATTTTATAATTGAATATTTAATTATATAAGTTAAATATATAATTCTATGCTATAACTTCAGATATTATCTAGAGGTAGAAAATACATCAGAGGCAATCTAGTCAAATGCCCTTTATTTTACATTTAAGAAAAGGGAGACCTAGGAAGATCAATTGACTTACCCAAAGTGAAATAGTATAAGTCAGAGTTAAAACCTGAACAGAATTCTTGCTTATTTCCTGCTTGCCTGGCCCTCTCTCCACTACATCATGTTGTCTCTCAGAACCATTACATTTAGGTAAATTGGATACATATCTCAGTTTCTGGGTTTCAAAATGGATAATGTTGCCTCTATTGCATCAAGCTTATATTTTGAAAGTGAGGCGTACTCTTACTAATTCTTAACTTTTATTTTGGCCCTAAAATTCTGAGCCCATTTCTCAGTAAAGATTTATTAGAAAGAAATTATTGCTGTGCAAACATCATCATTTTATTTTCTTAAAGGGTATTTTGTAGTTGTAGTGATATATTTCCCATTTGGTTTTTGGTAGGTAAACTCCCAAGTATTTTATAACACTATTCAGTTATCTTAAATAGAATTTCTCATTTATCTCTTCCCATTGGGATTTCCTTTTAATAAGCAGAAATGCGGATGGCTTGAGGATTTAATCTATGTTAGACAAAATATACTGAATGCCCCTTAAGAATAATCTTAGATTTATTGTTACCTGTGGAGTGAGGTGGGATGAGGGAAGGAAAAGAGGATAGGAGGATTTTTTTTTCTCATTTTTATATAAGGAATTTTAAAAAAATATTAGGAATACTTATATGTGTTTCAAATGGCATGGTGATTCAAAAGAAGGCACACATGAAGAAAAGAAGTATCAATCTATGGTGCTTTTTTTTTATTTATGCTAACATATCAGGTTATATTTTTAATTTAAGAGCATTCTAACAGATAACTAAGTGAGCTTTCATTTCCTTCAGATTATTTTCAGTACAGAACTAACTATATATATATATATATATATATATATATATATATGTGTGTGTGTGTGTATGTGTGTGTGTGTGTGTGTCTGTGTGTGTGTGTCTGTGTGTGTGTATGTATATCTATACATATATGTATATATCAATGTATACACACACACACACACACTATATATATATATATATATATATATATATATATATATATATATATATATATATATATATATATATATATATATGTATGTATATATATATGAAGGTGCCAAAAAGCATGTTTCTTTTCTTTTCTGAGCTTTAATTAGCATCTGATGGGTTTTTGATGTTCCTAGATATCCGTGGAATACAAGAGTTTTTGGACAAAGGGTCTCAGCAGGGGATGGATGTTGCACTGCAGAAAGTAGAAAATAACATCAACAGAATGATCACCACTCTCTTTGATACGATGAGAATAGAAGAACTAAACCGCTATAGAGACACCCTTCGACGAGCCATTCTGGTGATGAATCCTTCTACAGCCAAATCCTTCATTACAGAGGTAAGTAGAAATTACATTGGCAGTGTGAATGTAGTATAAATAAGTGTACGTTTGGGCTCAGAGAATAATACAATTTTGGAGAAGTGCCAAGAAATTAACTCTGCAACTCTCATTAACACTAATGGGAAATAGCATGGCAGATTCTTTACTCATCACATTTACCCCAACTATTCAGTTAATTGCTTTGAATATTTGTATTTATGAGTATTTAGGCACAAGGCCAAAGGGAGTTTAAAAAGTTTTATGATGATGTAAAAGTTACATAACTGAATGAATGATTTTTAGTTTACAAATAAATTTGAGAGTTCAGTGTACTCTCACTAATTCTTAATGTTTTCTTTGGCAAGCTCTAAAATTCACAGTCCTTTTATTAGTAAAGATTTACTTAAAGGAAACTCTTATTGCTTAGGCATCATTATTTTTACAAAACATACAGCAGATACACTTCTGCATTGTGAATTATGTAGCATCATTAGTAATTAAAACTGCGAAACTTTCTAAAGCAATGAACACTGTTTGTTTTATATTGCCATATCCTCATATTTTTACTGTATTTCTTCATTTATTACCTCGCTCTAAGGATTTATTAAAACACTATTAAAACTACTCTGATGACCAGTGAAAAGCAGACATGTTCTTCATGTTCTGTGATTTTTTTTTTCACTCTAATATTGTGGTATACTCTTAGCTGCTTCCAGATTCAACATCACTGTTTCTGTGGTAATTAATGTTCATCTGCTGGCCAAAGGGCACATCTTATGCATTATCCTATTGCTAGACTGTATCAAAGCCAAACATCCAATAGCAAAATAATGTAAGACATGAACTAATATAAAAACAAAGAAATCTTAAAGCATTTTCTGCATCCACACACATCAATGTGTCAAGGATCTTGATTCCCATTAGTGAAGGACCTCCATCCTAACTCAGAATACAACTGAAAATAATTTAATAGATCAATCATAGATATTGGCCTGAAGTTCAAGTGTTAACATTACTTTGTCAGAGTATCAGAGAAAGGATTTGAACCTAGTTTTTCCTGACTCCAAGTTCAACATTCTCTGCAATAAAACACATTTGGTCTTCACCCGTATGCAAGAGGGTACAATGTCTTCCAGTTTGGGGAGATATGTAATCTAATTCACTTAATCTCTTTGATTCTCCAATAAATAGAATATGAAGAACTGGTCATCAGGGAAGTTTTGATTGTGTGATTCATTTACGGTCAACAAGACACTGCCCTAATTTATGGGTTTGAGACCCCTTGGTTACCCTCAAACTGGTTTAACCCATCTTGTCATTTAGGGGAATGTTCTTTTTACCAAATAAATTGGGGTTACTTTGGTTTTCTCAAAGAAATAATTGGAAAGGAGTGTTAATCAGATACTCTTATTCATATTACTTCCTGCATTTACGTGCAATTGCCCTCTGAATTTGAGAGACGCAGAGAAGGAATAAATAGCTTATATCTCCCTCCCCTTGCCCCCGGCCCAGAACTATATATATAATAAGGTTAGTTTTTAAAAAATATTTCCTGTAGCCAGTAAAGGTGATTAGTAAACTGTAGATGAGAAATGGCACTCCTCTGCTCTCTGTCTTCAGGCAGATCTCCCCTCACTGTCCGAGTAGCAAAAAGTCCTTTGGTCTTATGCAGTTGACAAGGAAGGAAAAAACATGTGGCAACTCTTACAAATGGCTAATGGGAGTGGGGCCCAGTTCAATAGAAGACAGATTGTATTTCAGAGCCAAAGGTGGTTCTCCACCAGTTATCTAGGAAACATAAAATCTTACACTCCTAGGTTAGATAGCTATCACTTTGTCTTCTTTCTTATGAAATTTAGCCAATATCCAATGTTCCCTTCCAAGGAGTCCACAGCATGACATCAATTTCTGCATCACTAGCACCATACTTGATAGGTAGAACAAAAACAGTAGTTCTTAATGGAGGTTAAGTCCTACTAATTTGTAAAAAACATTATTTTATTTTCTAATAAATGAAAAGTCATGTTGAATATTTAGCCCAGTACTGAAGTATGAAATGTGCAGTGACAGAATAACAATGCCACTTCAAAATATGCTATTATTCAGTCACACAGAGTTACTACATTAAAATGTGTTGTTGTTCAATTGGTCAGTCATGTCCAACTCTTTGTGACCCTGTGGACCATACTGTCCATGGAGTTTTCTTGACAAAGATACTGGAGTAGTTTGTCATTTCTTTACCCAGTGGATTAAAAAACAGATGTTAAGTGACTTGCCCAGGGTCACATAGCTAACATGTGTATGGGGCCAGATTTCAGTTCAAGTCTTCCTGACTCCAGGTCCAATACCCTCAAAATTCCTTCCTCACAGTGTACCATGCCCCTTCAATAATAAACAACAACAAAAAAAATTGAGTTCCACTTTGAAACATAGTGGTAATAGTGGTCACTTGAACTACTTTGCCTGCAAAGTAGTTTGTTTTTGAAAACTTACTGTTAAATTATAGTTGACAAAAAATAAAACATTAAATATAGCTCATTGATGTGGGAGCTACTAATAGTTGTGTGGCTTTGAATCTGTTGGTGTAAGGAACTTATATTATGAAAGGTCATTGCCTAAATTCACTCCCTCCTACACTTTTTCAAAGGATCCCTGCAAGTTCCAGTACTTTGAGCTAGTACTTTAAAATAGCTTTATTTAGTCCATAAACATTCCAGATGAGGCCTCACAAACAAAATGGCCTATCCTCAGCCTTAGCTATTCCCAGGTTAAGTATGGCTGCTTGGGGTAATAATTATTCAATGGACAGCCCGAGGCCCCATCTGATATATTACTCTATTGCTAGACCATTACCAAGAAACATAAATCCAATAGCAGAATCATTTCATTAAGACATGAAACAACATAAATAACAACATAGAAAAGCAACTAGTCAAATAATCCCTGCGCCCATGCATAATACCAGACACCTGCCTACACCTCCATGGAGGCTAAAATCCTACACACCTTCATTTCCTCTGATTCTTCACCATAGTAAAAGGACACAACCACTTTAGAACTCATAGTGTTGGTGGTGGATAAGAACAGCGTGATACCGTACACCTCTTGGAGTCTCTTTCCAGGCATGTCACTGTTGATGTTCAGTCATTTCAGTCACATCTGACTCTTTGTGACCCCATTTGGGGTTTTCTTGGTAAACATGCTGGAGTGGTTTACCATTTCCTTCTCCAACTCATTTTTCAGATGAGGAACTGAGGCAAACAGGGTTAAGTGACTTGCGCAGAGTCACATAGCTAGTAAGTGTCTGAAGCCAGATTTGAACTCAGAAAGATGAGTCTTCTTGACTCCAGGCCCTGGGGCTCTATCCATTGTGCCATGTAGCTGATACACCATGCTGTATATAAGCTCTCAAGTTGGAAAATAGATACTTGGTATAGAGACAGGACCTATGATTTTATTAATATAGTTAACTCCTACATGAGAAAATTCTCTCTACGAAGAGAGATCATGTAGTCTTCTTAGAGAGTTGCTTAGAGGGGCAGCTAGGTGGCACAGTGGATAGAGCACTGGCTCTTGATTAAAGAGGACCTGAGTTCAAATCCAGCCTCAGATACATAACACTTACTAGCTGTGTGACCTTGGGCAAGTCACTTAACCCCATTGCATAAGCAAAAAAAAAAAAAGAAGAGACTTGCTTAGAGCATTAAAAAGAGAGGTGACTTACCCAAGGTCACATAGCCATTATGTGTCAGAGGAGCACTTGAACCCTGGTTTTCCTGGCTCTTTATGCATTATACAAGTGGTCTCAAACTCAAATAGAAAAGGAGACAACTAAATTATATGTAAGGATCCCTGTGTACCACATATTAACTTAGCTTTAAAATTTATCTTTTTCTAAACTTTATTGCACTTTTTTGTATTTTGTTAAATATTTTCCATTACATTTTAATCTAGTTTGAGTTATAATTGGGAGTGTGACCCATGAGGCACATATAATCCATGTATTTGACATCTCTGTATAATACCATTTTTATTATCTTTGGGAGAATCTCTGTTGTATCTAATGAAGTCCTGAATCCATGCCTACTACAAGATCACAACATATGTCATTGGGTGTTTGCAACAGCTGTGATATTTCAAAAATCTGTTGTATATAGTATCTGTGAATACCAGAGGGGATACCTGTCCTTCCCCTCTATCTTATACCTATCCTAACCTCAATACTCTTTGGACACTTTACAAAATAGTAGAATGACATAGTCCTTGAAAAGGAAGGGATAATATTTATTCTTAAATGAATTTGGGTTATTAAATGAGAAATGACAGTAGATGGGGTATTGTCATGAGCTACATAACAATTTGAAAGTGCCAAAAGTAACCTCTGAACATGTGACTAATACCAGATAGCAGACACTCAATAAGCCCTTAGATCTTCATTAGAGATAAAGAAGTTAAATTAGTGTATACCTTATTTGTAGCACATGCATTGTATGTAACATGTGCATATTCTACATTAGCACATAAGATGTTAAGCAAATAGGTCATTTTTTAAAAATAGCAATTGAATGGATTTAATAAACTAAATGCTAACTATAGCACAGACCCACAATTTTTTAAAAAATAAGTGTATCAACTGGCTAAAAATTGTGGTAGTGTATGTATGGTGGTGGCCAGAGAGCTTGCCTAAGAGTAAGTCAGACCAAACTTCAAGTCTTACCTAAGATGTGCATACTGGTTGAGTTTTCTTGGCTAGTTGGGTGATCTTTGTGAGTCACTTAACGTCACAGCAATTGCCATAAGCACCTCAATAAAATGGTAATCTGAAAAAAAAATGCTTCTTGTGCTGGGGTAGAAAGTGTTTTCTGGATGAAACATATAAACCTAGTAAAATGATGCTTATTATTTGTTTGTAACTTCATGATTGTGTTAAGAGAGAGAAAGAGAGACAAAGAGAGACAGAGAGAGAAAGTGCAAGCTTCCCTTGCAGCTAAGGAAAACTGAGTGGTTTGTATCCTACC